TTTTACTGTGTTGTCCAGGCTGGCAGGCTGGTCTCAAACTTCTGGCCCCAAACGATTCTCCAACCTCAGCCTCCCAAAGTGCTGGTAGTATAGGAATGAGCTATGCTACCTGGTTGCCTAGTAATTTTTATTTAAATAAGAATTATTTTCAGGAGGATTTTTGATTAATGATTGGAGAACTCAAGTGGCTCAGATTAAATTCTTTAAAATCAATAGTTCTATTTATACATTTAGTTAATTAAACTACCTTAGATGTTTTACATTGCATGTATAAATTTAATATATTGAGTTTCACTTTTAAGCATTCAAATACCTGAATGAACAAATTTAATGGTCCCACTGTGCAAAACCCTCCCAAGAAGTTAAATGACTCTTGTAAATCTTTTAAATTAAATCACCAAATTAAATATTCCAATAGCATTTGCAATTATATTTTTATACTTTTTAGAAGTATATTTATTACAGAAAATTTCAAGCATATAAAAGGCAAGGAGAATAGTATGATATAATGAGCCCCCATGTTCCCTTCACGAACTTCAACAATTATAAATTTATAGCCAATTTTGTTTTATCTATACCCTCAACCACTTCCCTTTCATATTATTTTGAAACTAATAACAAACATTATATAATTTCATCCATAAATATTTCAATAGGTGTCCCTAAAAAATAAATTCAGTATTTTAATATAAAACATTGAATCAGTGTTCAATTTTCTAATTGTCTTTTAAAATGTATGTGTTTTTTTTTCAAGTTTGCTTGAATAAGAATCCAAAGTATCCAAAGTGGCTTATATGTTTTGTCACTCTCCTTTAAGCTATAGGTTTACCTTTCCTGTCCTTTTTTTATTCTTTGCAATTTATTTGTTGAAGAAGTCAAGTTGTTTGTGGATATTATAGTTACCCATAGTGCAGATTTTGCTGATTGCTTCTCTAAAATATAGCTTATGTGTCCCTCTCTTCTCTGTATTTCCTGTAAATTGGTGGTTGGCTATAGAGGTTGTTTAGTTCTTTAGTTATTTTTATTTTGTAAAACTCATTCTTAGATGATGGTATATTCTTTCATTAGGAGTTCATAATGTACTCTTGACTCTCCTTTTTTGATGTGAGCAGCCGTTGACACTCAATACCTGGAGTCCTTACTTTTCATCTAAACATTAAAAAGTCTAAACCACAAATTTTAAATTGATGTGACAAGTCTAAAAGAATATTCTCTAATGTAACAAATCTCTTAAATATCACAAATACTTAAAATATTAAACATACACATATTGTCCCAGTGATTATAAAACTTACTCCACAATTTTTTTTACCATGAATTTGGCTTACTCCCTCGTTTCTGTATTTAATTCTGAATCTTCCAAGGACAACAAAGACTCACTAAGGGAAACAAGTGTCTTGTCATGACCAATTTAATGAGCTGATTAAGCAGCCTTTACACTTACCTAAAAAGAAAATAAGCATGTGTAAGTTAAATTTTTAATTTTTGATATTTTTTTAAAAGTGAGTTTATTAGATTTACAGTTGCTCACTAAAGATGTTTACCATCTCAGGTAGAGCCTGAGACACATATATCCGTGGCAGTTCTTCCTGAGCCACAAAAGTACCCACCGAGCCCTTTTTATGGTCTTAGTGATCAGAAGACGTTTCCAGCACACATTCTTCCTATGGAGTTGGTTTTACAACTAGCATCTCTTGGCTTCAAGTAACTCTCTTTCCTAATTCTTTAAGCAGTTTGAGTCTTCAACATGAGAGTGATATCTTTACATGAGAGATTATATTTCTGGCAAAAATTGAAGAAGGAACTGTCAGGGTGGGGAAGAGGAGGAGCAATTCTGATTACTATAAGACTTGCCAGATGGCCACTGCCAGAGTCTACTCTAAAGATTATACAATCCTGTTCTCGTGTCCAACAGGAGAGAGCAGAGAGATGGAAGAGTGAATTGAATCACAGGAGACATTAAATACGGAGAGCTGACAGGATGTGATGATTCATTTGATGTGGGGCTGAAGAAGAGTGAGAAGTAAAGGATGATCTGAGGCTTAGGTGAATATATGAATTGTAGTACCATTCACCAAGATAAGAAACCTAGTAGGGAGTACAGGTTTAGGCTGAAATGGACAGGGGAAGCCTCATTTTCTGAGATATTGATCTAGAACTGGTTGTAGGACATCTAAGTAAACACACACACACACACACACACACACACACACACACACACGTATGAAGCTGCAGGGGTATATAAAACCACTCAGGGACAACTGTAAAATGGAAAAAAAAGAAGAAAACAAAGACCAGAATACAAAGGAACATCATCACTGAAAGAAGAAGTCAAAAGAAAATAAACCCACAAAGGAAATTGTGAGAGAGTGGCCACAGAGACAAGAAGTGAGCCACAAGGTGTTTCTCATGGAAACAAACAAAGGAGACTCATGGAGAGCAAAATGGCCCATACTGTCCAGGGCCACAAAGCAATCTAGTATGATTCACTCTGAGAGGTGTCCAGAGGATTTGATAGCTAATATGTTTAAGAATAGTTTCAGTGAAGAAGTGGCAATAGAAGAAAGATTGTAGTCAGTGAAGAAATGAGTGGGAGGAGAGGAAGTAGAGTTAGTGTAGACAGCTTTTTCTAGCTTGGCCAGATAAAGGAGGAATATCTTGTAGTCACGTGGGGGATTCAGAGAGGTAAAGAGAAGCATTTGTTGTTTATGGATAAGAGTAACTTGGGCTGAAGGAGAAAACAAAGAATGAGATATATAGGGATGTAGAGTGAAAGAATAAGAGGAATGTAAATATGATGACACATGAATGAAAGAGGATAATTGATGGATAAAATTACCAAGAATTCAGATAGGATTCAGAACACAGGTGGAGAGAAGAACTTCCGTAGGGGGAGGTAAGGATGGGTATAACTGCAGATACGTTCGTGGGCTAAGGGAATGTATTTTCTTAAGAGAATTTACATCCAATAACTGCTGTATTATCAGTGAAATAAGAAACAAGTTCATCTGATTATAGGGGAAAGGAGAGAAATAGAAGATATGAGGAAAGTGATGAAATTTTTTCTTAAAGTACAGCAAGGAAGACTTTATTTGGGACCATCACAATGGATAAAGGGACCACTGCAATGGGATGTTGCTAGGGGAGAGGGATTGGCCTCATCTCCAAACACAGCATGCACAAGTGAGGATTTGTAGCCAAGGAGCAAGTTAGGAGAAAGTGGGTGGAAAACTGCTAAGAGTAAAACATCATTGGTAAGGGGGATTCTGGCTACACCAACATAACAAGATTCAGGGGTGATCAGATACCAAGGATGGGAAGGTTCTTGCTCAACTGACTTAGCAGCGTTCTTGCTAAAGCTGGATTTTTTTTAAAATTTCAGAATATTATGGGGGTAGAAATGTTTTGGTTACATGAATTATTTTTGTACAGTTTGAGCCAAAGTTATAAGTGTGTCCATCACCCAGATAGTGTGCATCGTACCCGTTAGGTATGAATTTACCCATCTCCTTCTCCCCACTCCCACCCAATTTCCATTGAATTTTACTACCATATGTGCACGAGTGTTATCTATTAGTTTCAATTTAGTAGTGAGTACATGTGGCGTTTGTTTTTCCATTCTTGCTATACTTCACTTAAAAGGTTGGTCTCCAGTTCCATCCAGGTTGTTACAAAAGGTATTAGCTCATCATTTTTTTAATGGTTGAATAATACTCCGTGATGTACATATACCACATTTTATTAATCCACTCATGTATTGATGGGCACTTGGATTGTTTCTGTATCTTTGCAATTGTGAATTATGCTGCTATAAACATTTGAGTGCAAGTGTCTTTTTAATAAAATGTCTTTTTTTTCCTTTGGGTAAATTCCCAGTATTGGGATTGCTAGGTCAAATGGTAGGTCTACTTTTGGTTCTTTGAGGTATCTCCATACTAATTTCCATAGAGGTTGTACTAGTTTGCAAAGCATTCCCACTTAGAACTGGAACTAGATAAGGTTGCCCACTGTCACCACTTCTGTTCAACATAGTGCTGGAAGTCCTAGGCAGAGCAATCAGGCAAGAGAAGGAAATCAAGGGTATCCAAATGGGGAAAGAAGATGTCACACTATTGCTCTTTGCTGATGATATGATCTTGTATGTAGAAAACCCAAAAGATTCTGCCAACAGACTCCTGGAATTGATAAATAAATTCAGCAAAGTCTCAGGTTACAAACTCAATGTACACAAATCAGTAGCATTCCTATACACCAACAATAGTCAAGCTGAGAATCAAATCAAAGTGATGAAAGTTTTTCATAGGTACTGGGAAGGATGATGCAAGAGAAGGCTGATAGAAAAAAAGTAATGATATTATAAAATAGTATTGAAGGGAGTACAGTTGAGATGGAATACTAGTTATTTGTAGTGTCCAGAGTCAGTAAAACTGGCAGTTTTCTCCAGCTATCCTAATCAACCTGAAAATAGGAATAGAAAATATAGATGGGTACATAAATCATTAGGGATTAGTGGGACCCAGGTATTGATAATTCTGTTAAGAGCCATTGGAATGAAGCACCTTGGAGTCCAAGCCACAAAATGATGAAAGCAAAGCCAGGTGGAAACCATCTGGAAAAGAGGAAGGAGTCAGGGGCTGGAACTAATTCTCTTTGGTGTATATACCATAGAGCCAATCAAATGCTTTCAGAATCCCGGAACTGAATCAATGATTTACCACCAATTTAATGGAAAACATATTACTCTCTTGAAGCAAAGGATTAGTTGTATGTGTCCACTATGAAGGGACATTGCTGCACTCAAGTTTCCCAATTCTCCATTTTTCACCACAAGAGCAGCATAAATATAAGGCTTAAGCCTATGATAGTGGTGTCTGAAGTCTTTAATCAGAGCAAATATTAAAGAGAAAAGAATAGTTCAAAAAATAATCCTTTTTTCTCTTTTATTATAAGGTGAAAATCTACTTGTTGTAGTTTCAACTTTTCTTCTTTCTTGTTTTCAGAAGCTCTGCAAATGAAGAATACCAAGATGGTGTCATGCACACTGACGGTAAAGAGCAGAAAGATATTTTGTTTATTTATTTGTTACTCCAGGTACAGAAGTTTGAGCTGATCATTCCATATAGGCTTGTGAAAGGGTCATTATTGTCATTGGTCCATGTAAGACCCCTCTCTTGTTTTGTGTTATTTATTTGTTTATTCCCTTTTACCCCCACTTCCTTTCTTCTCCCTTACCGTAGACAAATATTATAACTTATTTAATGTGTGTGTGTACATATTCTTTGCATATTGTGGAATACATGCGTATATTTAATTTACATAAACAGTATGTTATAGGTTACTCTGGGTTTTTTTAGTACTATATTTCTCAGCATAATATGGTTTGGGGGCCCATTCGTATCACTATGTGTGCATTTAATCTGTTGCTATTAACTACTGCTCCATACTCCATGGTATTCATCGGCATTTTATTTATCTGCAACTGACTGGTACCATAAATAACACTGCAATGCACCTTACTGTACTTATCCCACATGTGGGCCTCTCAGAGACTTTCCTTAAGATAATGATCCAGCAGTGAAATGGCTGTTCGTATGCTATGGAGTTCTCATGTTGACCGAGCATGATAGAGTGCTCTCCAGAAGAGATGCACCTGTCTATGCTCTTATCAATAGGGCATTAAGGTTCCAACATGTCTCCAGCACATGGCATCATTCCACTTTTTTCTTATATATATATATAAAATTATTGTCTCCTTTTAATTTTCATATCTCTGCTTTCTCTTGAGTTTGAGCACTTCATTTGGTTATCAGTCTTTGTGATTTCTTTTTCTGTAAGTTGCCAGTTTTTATCTTTTGACCATTCTTTTTCTTGGGGTTCGTATCTTTTTCTGGTTGACTTGCAGGAGTTCCTTTATATTCCAGATATAAATCCCATGTCAGTTTCAATACTGCAAATATCTTCTCCCATTCTGTCCATTGTCTATTAACTTAGCCCATGCTGTCCCTCCTTGAACATAAATAAATTTTGATATAATCAAATTCATTAATTGTTGCTTTATATTAATTTATGCTTTCTAAGTTTTTTAAAAAAGTTATTATGAAATAAAAATGTTCTTATGTTTTCTTTCTGTGAACTTTGTCATTTAAATGTATATAGGTCTTTGGTCTCTTTGCAGTACCCCCTTGTGGAGTTAGTAGAAATCCAGATTTGTTGCCTATGTATGGAGCCGGTTTTCTCATTACCATACTCTAAACAATCCATCCTATTCTCATTAAATTACAGTGCCACCTTTATACCATATCAACTCTGTATGTGTGTACGTGTGTATATATGTGCATGTTTATGTGTGTATTCTATGAATGTGTACATGAAAGTTTTCATATGTCACTGAACACCCTGCTCTATTCCATTGATCTATTTGTCTGTTTTTATACCAACAACACACTGTTTTTATTATTATCGCTCTTCATATTATGTTATTGCTCTTAATATTAGGTTATGTCTTGATATCTGGTAATTAGTTGATATTACACAAAACTCTTGAGCAATAAAAATTTTTTTTTAAAATCTAAATAACTTGATTTGTTTAATACCTGAAAGCAAATCCTTGGAAATAACTAGCTGTGATTTTTTGATAATTTCTCCTTCTACACAAACCCATAGAACCAAGTGGACGTGCCTTTAATAAAGGGAATAAACTGTGTCTTGATTATTTTTTGGCTTTTGCATTACTTTATGAAAGCCAACGAAATGATTTTATGATTAAATTGCAAGTATCAAAAGCCATAGTAGAGATCTGAAGCACATATTCTTCTATACCTTTGATAAAACATGAGTTCTATTAGATTATGAACTGTTTTGAATATTATTATGTTATATCCAATAATCCTATATTAAGATGTTTCCTTATTAAAGTGTATTACATTTTATTCTCTTTTTAATCCTTTAGGTACAGGACATCTAGATGAGGTCAGATTTTTTTCTTTTCATATTATATTGCTATAACTAAAATATTTAACAATTATTACGATTCACTTTCTATTGGTATAAACTGAACAGATGAAAATTCTTATGAGTAATGATGATATTTTTTCATTTATAATCTTACTTCATCTAAAATGCTTGAGATATTGAACACCAATCATTACACTGACTCATAGTAATGTTGTAGTGCTGAACATAAACTTAAGTCTGGCTACACTTCTGAATTATATAGCAAGATAGAAAATGAAACCTTTTTGTGTTTACTTTCCCAGTCTATCTCTAAAGAGGTAAAAAAAAAACATTTTAAACAAGCCAAATTTACATATAGTTAGAGTACAGATGCTTACAAATACTTGTTTTACTGAGTATTCGATTAATGTAATATGTGTATGTTAACTTTTTGAATAATCAAAATTAATCATTATCAATGCTTTTCTTGACAGGAACAAGAGAGTGATGGAGAAACATATGAAGACATGTATGAATTACATTTTACCATGATATTTTTCTTCTAAGATAAATATGATGTTCTGTTTGAGGACAAGTGGGTATACACCACCCTCAGGAGGGAAGCTTCATTTGTTCAAGCAATTGGCATATAATAATAACCTTTATTTCAATACAAAGGACTAAAACTTCTTTAGTTCTCTAAGGATTCTGCAAAAGACTCTGTTAACAAGCTGTTGTGTGAGAGGCCGGAGACCTGCAGCCTACTAATAATAGATAAACCACGGGCAGGGAATCAGAAACAGGAATCTGTATTCCTCGTTCTCAGAGTATCCTTGGACAAATGAATTATTAGTAATTTATGTGTTATACCTTCTTTACCTGGGCTGTACTTAACCCACAGGGGAGCTGGGAGAAATAATTTAACATGGCACCCAGATACCAATGTTTCAGCCTGCTAAAGTGGAAAGATGTTAAAAATAGCTCCAAAATGGTTTTCTAAGTAGCTCAGGACTAAGAAGTTTCTTGAAAAGTGAGTGAAAGTAGAAATGAATATGTTATCTTCTTTTATTAAATGGGGGTCTCAGATGTCTTAATTTCTTCTACCCAGTATTTATTCAACCAATTCTGACTAAAATTTCTGAACCAAGCTTTGCATGTATACCTGTGAATGCATGGTGTGCATGCACATGAGAGAGAGAGAGAGAGAAATGAATTCTGTTCATCCCAACATGCAGCAAGAACTAGGCATTTATAAACAGTGGCTTCCACTTGCTGGACAAGTTGTCAGGGGAAGCAGAGCCTTTGGAAGGTATCCTGAGCTCTGTGCCTCCTGCTGGTTTTAAAAATGATCTCACACATCCAGGATTTTGACAACCTTTGGCTTTTTACCTTCACCTGTACTTCAGATACCATCTTCTGTGGTGGGTAGAAACCTCTCAGAATAATGAGCCCTGCCACATCAACACTTCAGATGCAGAAACTATCTAACGATTTCTATTCACAGAGAAGCATCCAAAGAACGAGAGAAGAAAAGGGAAAAGGAGGAAAAGAAGAGATTAGAGCTGGAGAAAAAGGAACAGAAAGAGAAAGAAAAGAAAGAACAAGAAATAAAAAAGAAATTTAAAGTAAGGGCTTTACAGTAACATCTTTTTATAACTTTCACACAAAAGGGGCACCATTCATGAAACCTACATAGCTGGAGAATTACTTAATCATTATTTCTAAAGAGTAACTACCTTCATAACAGTATTTTTTGGCCAACATGTTCCCTTATCCCTGCACTAAAAAGTGTAATGTGATAAAATTCAAATAATATATGGTAGCTTATGTTATGGTGGGCACCCAGGAAATTATATATTGATTGAGTGAATGAATACTCACTTACTCAAACCCATCTTGGCTCTCCCCAGAATGCATTTCATATTAGCCTACTTATGCTATGAGTTTAGCACCACACACATAGGTGTACATGTGGCATGTATTATGGTGGCGCAAGGGATACAAGTGTCTCCTGGATGAACCAGACCTGTCTTAGAATAAGATTTCTATGAGCTACTCTAATTTCTGGTATCTGGGCATGACTTACATTTTTGCCTTTATTTTAAATCTGTGTACATGCTGACTCCTGATACCTGCTGTTTCTCATTCCTCTTTGTCTATCTGGATTTCTGACCTCTCTCTTCTCTGATCTCTGATAATTGTGTGACTTCTATTACTACCACCAGTAAGTGCTACGCTCACAGGCTATGTTCTCTTGGCTACACCATCTTTGATGACATGGCTCATCTGGTATGGGTCTAGCACGTCAGATATATTTAGAGTGATTACTTGAATTACAATACTATTCTTCACTTTAAAAAGGATTCACATCATGGTTCTTTTAAATATTTACTCCTCTGGAGTATTTAATATATGGTTTGAATTATAAAAATTTGATTTACATATAACTTCCCAGCATATTTATTGTATTAAAGCAAAGGTTCAACAGCATGGTGAAGGGAAAACATACAGAATAGAGTCCGTCGGACAGATGTGGATTCCAATTCCTTCTGCACATACGAGTTACACAGGATATGGGGCTTATTACTTAACTTCTCTAAGCCTTAAATTCTTAATCTTTAAAGTGAGAATAAATGATACCAGTCCAGAAAGTTTGTTATGGAATTAATCAAAATGATGCACAGAAGGCACTGTATCTATTATAGGTTTTCATTAAATTATGAAACAGCTCACTATATACAAGTAAGATCATGATTATGGTATGAATATTAAAACATTTTACTCACACAGAATGCATGTCTACCAATGTCTATATTTTTCAAGTGAAGAATTAATTTCTTAAATGAAAATCTATGTGATGCACTTTTCATGAAGGGATTGTTTATAGTTCTGAGGAAATTATATGAGATGTTTCCATATGTTTCCTTTGGAGAAATCAGTTTTACATTATTTCCCTCATTCATTCAAATAATATTTTTAGTAAGAAAAAAATAGGGTATGGAAATCATACACTAAATATGAACTCAAAAGTTTATCAAGACGAGGACTTCATAAGCTATATTTTTTCCGTAAGATGTTAATAGATAATAGGTAAGAAAATTAAATAAATATGAGAACTGAGACCCATCAACATGGCATATCTAATTTAAGCTGTTTTCTTTGTTTCTTAGTGGAACATAATTAATGATACATGTTTACAATTCATGGCATCACATTCAATAAAATAAGGTAGAGCTTCTTCAAAAGTCACAATGCATATTTGCACATCAAAAGATCCAAGAAATTCTGTTGAAAAGATACCAGTTTAGGATTAAGAAATTAAGAGTTTGGGATTCATGATCTAAACTAGGTTATTCCCCTGCTGTCAAGAAACCACCAACTATTTAAGATATTAATTTTAAAACTTCATGTAACATTTGTTTGCTGTTTTTTGATTTGCAAAGCTATTTCTGAAATGTTATCTTGTTTATAACAGGTAATGTCTACTCCAAGTTTATAGACAGACAGGCACAAAGTTAAAAAAAAAAAAGAATAAAAATAGAAAATGCTTTTCCCACAAATACAACTAACCACCTACCTTTCCCTCTGCTGTTGCCTGTAGAGAACCATCAGATACCTACACAATGCAAAGGGGGAAGAAACTCCTACTTAACAGACCACTAGCATATCCCATAAAACACAAAGCATTCAGCATGGATTGTTGTACCTAAGTGCTATTCAGTTACTGGGGCTGCCAGTGCTGGCCTCTTTCAGAGTTCCTAAAGTCAACAGATCCCTGCCACTCTCTCCTGGCCCCCAGGCACATATTCACCTATTCTTTGCTGATCCTGCTTGGCCTCTGAGAGTTTTCCCTAACCCCTCCTATAAGAAGAACATTCACCAGGAATGACATTCACCCTCTATTTCTAGTTCAAATCTGTGAATGTTCAATATAGGTAGTTTAGCAAGTTGTGGACTTATTATCTCTCAACGTTGCATTCCTTAAAGATTTTCTGAATAATAAGGAAACTTGTTACTATTTTTTTTACTCTTTGCAGCTAACAGGCCCTATTCAAGTCATCCATCAGGCAAAAGCTTGCTGTGATGTCAAAGGAGGAAAGAATGAACTGAGCTTTAAGCAAGGCGAACAAATTGAAATAATCCGCATCACAGACAACCCTGAAGGAAAATGGTTGGGCAGAACAGCAAGGGGGTCATGTGAGTGAAAATTTCCCTGTGACTTCAAAGTGTTTTCCTTTTGAGCCAATATTAAGTAATGCAAATTCCTCCAGAACTACTCATAGGCATCCAGTTGGGAGAATGTTACAGGGTGGACAAAGGCAGGAAGGTTTTAAATGGCAGGTATAGTTCCATCTTCACCTCATCTGTGTTATCTTTTTAGTGGGGAACAATGTAAAATTTTATATTATTCCAGGGTGGAACAAAGGGCACTGTGTTCTTCAATGATGTTAAAAGGAAAAAAATGGTTCATGTGAATCACGTTGGAATCTTTAAAACAGTCTCTAGGCTTACATTAAACTATAATACAACAGGACAAGACTTTTGACAGAGTATACATCAGAATTATAAGCAAATAAATAAAGGAAAATTTTAAAGTGCAAATGTCCAATTGATATTTTACTCACAATTTTAAAATATTGAAACTGCAATTGCCTGAACATAAATCTTTCCCTTTTTGATAGATGGCTATATTAAAACAACTGCTGTAGAGATCGACTATGATTCTTTGAAACGGAAAAAAACCTCACTTGGTGCTCTTTCAAGACCTGTTGAAGATGACCAAGAAGTGTATGATGATGTTGCAGAGCAGGACAACATTAGCAGGTACGTGCAAATATATATGATAGAGCAGACCAGACGGTCACTTTGTCAGAGATTATGTATTTCAAAATCCTAGAATTTTACCTTACATATCTCTATCGCTAAACTAAATGACCACTTACAATAACCCCAAGATGGGTGAAGGGTCATCTAAAACTCCATAGTCTTTTATTTTACTGTTTGAATATATATATCAAGTACTACTTGAAACGTAATGGGCCATTTGCCAGGTCTTGTCAAATATGTTGTCATTTCAAAACACTGTTTCATAACATTCATTATGATTTGATCGTAGGGATATGCCTAATGTAAATATGATTTGGTAAAATATGAAGCATAAAATATAAAATCAGCCTTTTTTTTACTCCAAAATCTCTGAGTCTGAATATATTTGTTATTATTTGAAAATATAACAGAAAAAAATAATAGTTTTTATTACAACTCCAGTTTTCTCTTTAAAAGTAAAAGAGATATTTAGAGGTTGTTTCTAACCTTTTGTTGCTTCAAAATATGTTGCAATAAATATTGTGAAATAATTAATTAATTTAAAAAGTAAAAAGTCAATTCCCTATGATTTCTGGATATTGATTAAGGGTTCAACTTTCCCTAGCCCATTTATTCCACTAGGTTAAAGTGACCTTCCCTTCAAGAAGTATGGGAACAACTTCCTGGGCCAGAGGGGACAGAATAAGACATCCTTTCTACAGGAGCAAGAGGGAAGATTGGCCATCTTCTCCTTGTACTTCTCGTTTCCTACTTTCCCTTCTCAGCCTTGTATTCTCTCTCCATCCTTTCCCCTCTGTCTCTTTGTCCCAGCTCTGATCTTCCTGTGTCCTTTCTTCTCCTTCATACTTTTCCATTCCCCTTCTCCTTTCATTCCTTCTTTCCTCCAATACCTCCCTTTCCTATTAAAGCCATGATCCCCTCAAGTAGAAAGAAAAGATGGCGGAAAATCTCCAGCCCAGTTCAGAATCCTCATTTTTCTATGCCCGCCTTATGAAATTAGGAAAGTTCCATTGTGATCCCAAAAAAACACTATCTGGCCAGTGCGGTGGCTCACACCTGTAATCCTAGCACTCTGGGAGGCAGGGAGGATTGCTTGAGCTCAGGAGTTGGAGACCAATCTGAGCAAGATTGAGACCCATCTCTTCTAAAAATGGAAAAATTAGCCAGGCGTGGTGGCGCACACCTGTAGTCCCAGAAATCTGAAGTTGCAGTGAGGTATGATGACACCACTGCACTCTACCCGATGAGACAAAGTGAGACTCTGTCTAAAAAAAAAAAAGATCAGTTCTAGATCTTCACCCAGATAAACTGTGTCTGCATTCTTCATAACTCAAATTTCAATGAAAAAAATTTCATTATCAATCATTTAAAAACCACCAAGTTAATAATATAAAACACATGAAGGATTAAATTTCCCTCTTACAATCTTTTGCCTTGTATCATCAATTAAACTTGCTCTGCTGCTTTCTGGCAGTTTGTCTGTCTTTCTAATATCAATTATAGCCTGCTATGCCTTCTTACCATGTTATGATCATAAATTATGTAACATGTCAAAACATGCAATACGTGGACTAGAATTTGATTTGCAGATCATAAATTGACTTTAGTAATAAGAAACACATTGGCCTAGTTTGAGAGTCAGTAAATGCCAGTTTGTGGGGCAGATGAAGTTCCAAATGATCATATTCTACAATTTACAGAATTTTCTCGATGTGAGTATGTCAAGTATATTACCAAGGTATATACTTTATGTTTATCTTTTATTTATGTTTTAAAAGTACATTTTCTTTATTTTGTACTTAAAGAACCCAGGTTACATTAATAAATACATATTTACACTGATGTGCATACTCAAGAAAAAAATAATAAATCCACAAGAAAGAAATGATGTTCTTAAAATGAAGCACTGTTTAACCATATTAGGTGAATATTTCTGCAAACTAGCATTACTACCTTTTTCCATTTTATTGAATCCATACATACCCCAACTCTGAAAACATGCTCAGTTTGTAAACATGTAACAGAAAAATAATCTTATCTTTAATAAAAAAATGAGGTTGGAAGAAGCGTATTGTATGATTTTAATGCTCAGTATCTTCAACATGTACAGCACCACAATATTTACTAGCATCTATCCCTCTCTTATGCATACTTAATAAGAAAATTAAGGAAGAAGCTATTTCTATACATGTTTTATTTTTGAAACTACAGCTGCTGCTGGCAGAGATCTTAAAACAGAACATGCTTTGTTCTTAGTAGAAAAAGGAAAGATGCTGAATATAGTCGGCAGCTTGCCCTGGCGAAAATGAGAAGAGAAGGCATCATTTTCTCTTCCATGTGCCCCCTGGTCGCTGCACTCTCTACCTGCCCTTTCCTGATTCCCCCGTGTGAGGAGAGACGGCTGTGGGCTTCCAACTCTGGGAGCAGACATTAGCTTCAAAGCACAGGCCCTGACAGGTCCTTCTCTCCTTCTTCTCCACTAAAGCAATTTCTGTAATGAATATGACACATTGAAGGAAAGGAAATTACAAAAGCAAATACCACTCTTCCATCACACAGCAAACCTTCCTCCTTCCACATCTCTCTCTCTCTCCCTCCCCACCCTCTTCTCCACTCACACCCTCCTCTCCCTCTTCCTCTTCTTCCCCTCTTCAAATGTTTTACATTCTGAACAGGCCATTTTAGGAAGTTGAAGGATTGCTCTAGAAATGAAATAAATGAGTGGCCCCTTTGCTCCTGGTCACCACAACCCTGCTCTTTAGGAATTGGATCTAAAAATCTCCAAGATGAAATGTATTTGCCGGGAGTGGCAGCCGACCACAATGCAACTCTTCATGTAACTCTGACTGCCTGCTTCATGCTCAGAGAGGAGAGTCAGGGAAAATAAATGTGAAAATGGTACCTAAGCAAGTGAAGAGTGTACTGCGGCTTCTTCAAAAGTCAATTCCTTATTTATGTAGCAAGACACTTATAGCATGTTTTTCTGCAAAGTTCCATTAGCAACAGTATGTTTTTACGTCTACATTAAGGGAAGATCTGCATTAGATCACTTTCTTTTACTGACTTTTAACATTAAGGAATCAGATGTGAGTACTGCATAATTGCCCTGTTTGATTGCAACATCAAACTGGTAACTGTTGCTGACAGATTAACCGAGGGGGGAAAGTAGGGGTATAGGGAGTACAGCTAGGAGTGGAAGTGGGCTTGGTCAAGTCACTTAATTACTCAGAGCCTCACTTTCTTTTCTGCAAAATGAGGTAATTAAATAGATGATTTCTGGGATTTTTCCACTTCTCACAGTCTACATTTCCTTTGCTCTTACAGAACTCACATTTTAGTGGGAGATACAGGCAACAAAACAGACAATTACAACATAAATGCTAAAATAGGGAAACCATATAATGTCATGAAAGTAAATAAGAAAAACAGGCAAACTGGATTTAGAGAGTCGGGGTCACATTATATTAAAAACCCTATGAATAAGATTTCGATTTTTAAAAAGTTCTCCCTTTAAAAAGATTTTAATGCTATTGGACTAGGAGTAAAATGCTGCGGTTATAAGATATTGAGAGAAGATTGAATTTAATGCAATGATAATTGCTCTATTATGATTCCTGGAATAATACTCTTGGGGTTTAATAGTCATCTATGGAATGATGTAATAATGTATAATCTGAAAACTGCCTCATGGGAAAATGCTAAAAGCCAATAGTATCATTGTTTTGAATGCCACATGGAGTACTCTAACTCACTTAATTCTTGTTTTTGTTTGTTTTGTTTTGTTACCTTGTTATTAGTCATCTGTTATGATAAGAATATTTTTTCTTCCTTATTACATATCACATCCTAATAAATTTTAACTGGAATATTATTTTTCTTTTGTGTAAGTGATCAATATATGTACTTTTCTTTTTGAAAACTAAATAATTCATATATTAATTTAATATTTCTGGGGTTTTTTTTTCTAGCCACAGTCAGAGTGGAAGTGGAGGTAAGCCACACACTTTTTTGATTACTTTTTGTATTGATACATAATATTTATACGTATTTATGAAGGTATATCTGTAGTATTTTGTTACGTGCATAGAATGTATCATGATCAAGTCAGTGTATTCAGGATATTCATCACCATGAACATTTATCATTTCTATGTGTTGAGAACATTTCCAGTCCTCACTTCTGGCTATTTTTAAATGTGCAATACGTTATTGTTAACTATAGTCACCCTGCTCTACTACTGAGCCTTAGAACTTACTCCTTCTTACTCGGTTTGTACTCATTAACCGTCCTCTCTTCCTCTTCCCCCACCCTGCCCAACACACACACCTTTCCCAGCCTCCGGATCTGTCATTCTCCTCTCTACCTTCATGAGACCAACTTTTTCAGCTTCTACACATGCAACATTTGTCTTTTTGTGTCCTGCTTATTTGACTTAAGATAACTACCACGAATTTCATCCATGTTGCTGCAAATGACATGATTTCATCCTTTTTTATGGCCAAACTCTATTATATTGTATAAATATATCACACTTTTTAATCCATTCGTCTGTTGATGGACACTTAAGTTGATTCCATATCTTTGCTGTTGTGAATACTGCTGCAATAAACATGGGAGTCCATGTATCGTTTTGATATACTGCTTTCCTTTCCTTTGGATGAATACCCTCAGTAGCAGGATTGATGGATTATATGGTAGTTCTATTTTTTAGTTTTTTGAGAAATCTCCATACTGTTTTCCATAATGACTGTACTAATTTACATTCCCAACAACAGTGTATGAGAGTTCCCTTTTCTCTGCATCCTCACCAGCATCTATTATTTTTTGTCTTTTTGATAATAGCCATTCTAACTGGGGTAAGATATCTCATTGTGGTTTTGATGTGCATTTCCCTGATGATTCATGAGGTTGATCATTTTTTCGTACACCTGTTGGCCATTTGTATGTCTTCTTTTGAGAAATGTCTATTCAGATCCTTTGCCCCTTGTTAGTTTTTGTCTGTGGGTTTTTGTTTTGGGGGGTTGTTTGTTTTTGTTTTTTGGGTTTTTTGGAGGCTTTTTTGCTGTTCAGTTCCTTGTATATTCTGGATATTAGTCCTTTGTTAAATGAATAGTTTGCAAATATTTTCTCCCATTCAAGAGGCTGTCTTGCTGTTGGTTGTTTCTCTTGTTGTTTAGAAGCTGTTTAGTTTAATATAGTCCCATTTGTCTTTTTGGTTTTGCCTGTGCTTTTGGGGTCTCAGACATAAAATTTTTGCCTAGACCAATGTCCTGGAGTGTTTCCCCTACATATTTTTCTAATACTTTTATAGTTTCAGGTCGTATGTTTAAGACTTTAATCCATTTTAAGTTGATTTTTGTACGTGGTGAGAGATAGGAGTCTCGTTTCATTCCTCTACATATGGATATCCAGTTTTCCCAGCACCATTTATTGAAAAGAACATCCTTTTCCTAAAGTATGTTCTTGGTGCCGTTGTCAAAAATCAGTTTGCTGTACAATTGTAGGTTTATTTCTGGGTTCTTTATTCTGTTCCGTTGGCCTATGTGTCTGTTTTTATACCAATACCATGCTGTTTTGGTTACCGTAGCCTTGTAATATATTTTGAAGTCAAGTAGTATGATGTCTCCAGCTTTGTTCTTTTTGCTCAGGATCGCTTTGGCTATTTAGGCTCTTTTTTGGTTCCATATGAATTTTAGGATTTTTTTTTTATTTCTGTGAAAAACATTGATATCTTTATAGGGATTGCATTGAATCTATTATATAAATTGCTTTAGGTAATATGGTCATTTTAACAATATTAATTCTTTCAATCCATGACCATAAAAAGCCATACATTTTTATCAGTAGTTTCTCCATAGGTCTTCAATATTTTTGTGTATATTAATGACAAAATGCTTTAACTTGCAGAATAATAAAAGAGATCTTTTTCTTTTCTTTTTTGAGACAGACTCTCACTTTGTTGCCCAGGCTAGAGTGCCATGGCATCAGCCTAGCTTACAGCAACCTCAAACTCCTGGGCTCAAGCGATCCTCCTGCCTCAGCCTCCTGAGTAGCTGGGACTAAAAGTGCACACCATGATGACCAGTTAATTTTTATATTTTCAGTAACTTTTTTTCTATTTTTTAGTAGACACAGGGTCTCGTTCTTGCTCAGGCTGGTCTCAAACTCCTGAGCTCAAGCGATCCTCCCACCTCGGCCTCCCAGAGTGCTAGGATTACAGGCATGAGCTACCGCACCCAGCCTAAAAGAGATCTTAATGTTGTCTAAAGAACACTAGCATGGGACTAGTGAACTGGATTCTAGACCTGGCCACCAAGAGACTCTGAACAAGTCACTTCTTTCTCCCAAGTTTACGATGGATCTTAGAGTGACCTCACTCCAATGTGCCCAGTAAGGTCTTGATTTATGCCACTTGTCTGAGCACAGTTAATAACAACATCCCCCTTCACTCTCCGAAGTATCCTTGTTTGGACAATAACTTATATGGTCTCTTTGACTATGGCTCCTAAAGACCCCTATATTTCCCAGCAACAAAATAAGGGATTTGAACTAATACCTTGCAAGGCTAAAATTCTCATACTAAAAGTCAAATTTCAAATTCATTGTACATATTTCTGCACATAGAAAGTACTCAGTAAAAATTTGTTAAATAAATATCTGTCAAATAGCAAGGTTTCTGAGGAGTACATGATAATAACAAATGGAACAGGAGTGTAACTTAAAAAAAAAAAACATATTGAAAAGGTTACCTTTCAGTTTTTTCTTTGTTTTAAGCACCATCAATGTTTACAAATTCACCTTTCATTTAATTTCATTCCATCTTCATTTATATCTTGATCACTATCTTTTTCTGAATGTCTCCTTGTTGTTAACTAGATTTTTTTATTGCCTCCTCACTTCTCTTTTTCCACAATAAATATTTAACTCTATCCCATATTCAATTTTACTTTTTCTCATGTTTATTCTTCCCCATTCCCTTCAACTCAAGTCCATGGTACCTCTTATCACCTCTCACTTCTTATTGTAATTTCAGCCCTAAGAATTCCTTATAAAATGATCAGCAAAGCAATAATTATATTAGAGTGGGAATATAAAGGTTTTTTTACTGAAATGGTTAGTATAAAGAAAGGCAGTTTCTGTAGTTAAATAAGGAAGATTTGTTATTAAAATCTGTGACCATTACATAGCCAAATTATGAAATTAACAGAAGATTTTCCCCTTGTTCCAAATGAAGGGATGTTCCCACCACCACCAGATGATGACATTTATGATGGGATTGAAGAGGAAGATGCTAATGATGGGTAAGAACAATCAGTGAATTGCTTTTTGCACATTATTGTATATGCTGAAACATAATTTTGATTTCCAATTAGGACAAAAGCAGAAAATAATGTTCTTTATTACATTACTCCTAATTATTTGGGTATTTAATTAACAGCAACAGCAAATTGGGAAGGGTAATTGCACTACACTTAAAAGAAAGGGTAGATTGGAAGAATCTCAACAACTATGGCAAAAGAAGTAAAATGAAAAAGGGATAAATTACAGGTGTTCTGGATGTTTTTTCAAACCTTTTCCAATCATTTATTCATCAGTCAATAATTTACTTTTATAATAATCTCTGGAGAGTTTATCAGTTGCACGATTATCCCTTGTACAATAACATAATTATTAGGCAACCCAAATAAATTGAAATCATATGCTATCATGGCAGAACCAGTACTGAATACTTAATCCTTTAGTTTAATAATA